AGTCCATAAGTAATCAAAATTGATATTCGATTAAAAAAAGTACTCGTTTTACGTTTCTCAGATATATACTAAGAATTCATTTCAAGCTCAGCATGTTTTACAGCCTAGAAAACTTCGAAATGTCCTTACATTGTTCTTTGCTTTGTTAGCGCCCTTATCTGGTACTGAACGCCGTATTTCCTTGGAACCTAAAGGTCCACCAGCGTGCCGAGCGGCAAAAATCGCTGAATACTGGTAGTTCGACCTGAGATTGGACTAAGGCAAACAGGTTGGCTGCATGGTTATTTTTCGAGGTTTACCCTATGTGTAACGTGGATACGAGCCAGTTTTTCGTAAAATGTCCTCCACGAAGTCATCCCTTCCATAGGCAGATAGCCGTCGAGTTGCTTTACATTAATCAGTGAACGGAATCTAACCTTGGAACATAAATATCGTTCAGCTATACGATTTCCGTTTCATTACACAAAACAGATTATTTATTTTTAATTTGAGCGTTACATTTTGTTAGTAAACATAGCAGTTCAAAAGAAAGTTCTGAGTTTCCTCCTGACATAACCTCAATTAGGTGTAAACATACTTTTAAGGTCTATATGTAGGAATGACAGTCAACAAACCGTCTGCAAAAACCCTTGTTTGCTGATTCATACCGTGTCGTTATAATACATGTTATCAGTATGAAAACAATATTGCATTTTCCATGTGGCAATTATAGGATCTATTCTTTTTCAAAAATATATCTCGCGAAATTCTATGTGCAAAGTATACTCCCAGAAATATGGTAGTTAGACATGATTTTTAACCTTTTAAAATGAGAAACTGCACAGTGGCGGACGGGCTAGCTACTTGAGTGGTGGTACAAAATTTAGGAGAATTAGCATGTAACAATATTTTTAAACACAATTTATAAAGTCATGTTCAGTTTGACTTAATATGAACCTTCTAGACTGCCGGGTGAAGTTTGGACTTGCCACCTCATCTTACGTTCTAAGTACAGTAAACACAAAATCAGATAAGGTTTAAAATAAACCTATCCCCCATTAGCATGTCAACACTTATGGTTACACAAATTAATAAATAACGTAAATTAATATCTGCTGTATGCAGGAAAAATCGTACAGATACTCAAAATCAAATTAAAATATGAACGAAAAAATAATGCCCGTTTCATTAAGTTTTAGCTCGGGCCTGAATATTTGTAAGGCAAATGCGGCCTGTAAAGCTAAAGCCGATAAATTAATAAAACAGCAGGGAGGTAACAGGTCAACGATAGTTGCTGAAAGCTGTCTCTCAAATTCAAGAACTCTGAGCTCATATATAATAAATAATTTGCATCCTAGTGCGTGTTGACGAAAATAGAATTGACAGTAAAAAGAAAATATTAAATAACATAAAACTCTATAAGTGCGGCATTGTAAAACTACTAATGAATTTATTGAAATTTAAGTTTGAAGTAAAGAATTAAAGCAGTTTTCAAAATTAACTTCCGCTTTTTGCGGAATTGATAGACAAAAATGGTTAAACGTATTTGCAAGTCAATAAATTTTAATTTTTAATGAAAGGCACACACACCAGTTTGTTGCAAGAATGGTCAAGACAGACTATAACAAAAGAGTTTCCCTAAGGCCTAGTTTGGCCAAACCTCTTCCTTAGATCCTTACTCCCATTCAAAATTCACTTCATTTACTTATTTTGATGGAACAGGCGAACCAAGAGAAGCACAGGGCAAATTTAACATAAGAAATAAAGTGTTTAGTAAAATAAACCTTGCGACTTCATTGAAAAAACTTCTTTAAAATTAACGGCAGTTGACTAATAATAAAGGAAAATAGCTGGATCCCGTGGCTTCAGGATAACATACGTTTCAATGCTTTACGAAGACGCTTGCAGACTGAAAATTCTTTAAAACGCTAGGTACAAAATTCCCTTACAAAGTCAACTGGAAAAGACGATTGTATCCTTTTATTGTCCTGTAATAAAAGACACTTTAGACGAGAAGTCATATATTATAACTCGTAAATTTTGTTAGATAAAAATAACAGCCTTTCTTATCCTTTTCTATGCTAATCTCATGATTGAGATTTTCATTTTTTAGTGTTCCCCAAACTGTGTGCTAATTAATGCTCACAAAGTAATGGATGCAACTTCTGAAATCTAATGTGCCAAATCATTTTTGGTCATGTTCGCATTTTAGGTTTTAACTGGACACCTTCCAACATGGTTAAGTAACAAAATAATCAACTTTGTACTGGTAATGAAGTTTCTGAATTCTCAGCATCTTTCTTTGTACATAATTAGCAGCATTCTACTCATGCTGAAGGAGTAGGTGAGTGAAGAGCTGTCTTAAAACTAACTCTCAGTTTTACAAACTCTTTACAAATTTTACCATGTACAAATAGATGTAAAACCCTTTCAAGACATGTTGTTTTTTCACTTGAATATTACATGTGCACTTAAATTTAATATTTGCTACATTTAAAATTTTCCAATTCAGTAAATATCTATCTGCAATAGAAAATATTTCATTTAATTTATCTAAGAGAAAGGTACTAGATCTGGAAAAGAATATTAAGGATTTCTTTGCTTTTATTTCACTCCCTTCAGGGAAGTTTTCAATATTTCGATCTTATCACAGATAAATTCAACGTGAAGCTGTTGTATTTACAAGTGTCCATAATAGACGGAACGAAAAATGTCAAAACCTCTCTAGTTATCTATGAAGCAGCAAATTTTAATTATTTACTTATTTTTATTTACATATAGATGTTTTAGTTTTGTAATATGCAATTTAGATAGAGATATTTAATTTATTTAATATGCTTATTATACATAGTCTTACATATAAGAAAAATACTTGAAGTATTCATTATTATTCTTAGCAGATTTGTTAATTAACTATTAAAGAATATTAAAATCTATGGCTAATGAATGCTTCAATTTTTTTCTTTGTCATTTGTCAGAAGAAATAATTCTTCAAGTGTGTTTGTAGATGATTTTTTTTTAAATTTTATTTTTATTCACTGTTGATGCTTTATTTTTTTTTCACCTGCTACTGATAGAGAAAGGCATAATGAGACAGAGAGAAGCACAATGAATAAGAGAGGCACAACAGATTTTTTAATAATATTATTATACCAAGAAAAATTTCTTCTACTACAACATTTTTATTTCAAAATTTTCATTCTAAAACGCCGTGAATTTTTTATTTTTTTCTGCGCTTCTACGGTCCTTGGTAGATGACATTCTCTGTCAAGATTTTCATAACAGTTTCTTCAATAAGATTTAGAAAATTCAAAGTTCAAAGTAATTGAATTATTACTTGAATTAAATTATTGAATTTACACTTATTATACTTGAATTAAATTATTGAATTATTAATTGAATACTTATGATTATACTTGAATTAAATTATTGAATTATTAATTGAATACTTATGATTATACTTGAATTAAATTATTGAATTATTAATTGAATTAAAGAAAATTCAAAGTTAATGATATTAAAATGTAAAAACAGACTGATGCATTTCAAAATACAGCATTGCTAAATGTTTTCAATGAAAGAACTTTAAAATTTATTTGTTTGGATATTTGTTAAGGCGTCAACCATGACTGAATAAGTATTTCACTTTAAAGTGCCTTAATATATGTTTTAGAATTTTTATCTTATTTAAGCTCATTTCAGAGCATGACGCTCGCCCTTGAAGAAAATGTCCTTCCCTGATGACAAAACTTTACTGCACGAAAGCTATTATTATTAAACATACATAGTTTTTAGACATGATAAACTGAAATAATTAAGACTTTGTTTATTTATTTATGAACGGAACTTTAGTGAATTTCAACGTTATCTCCCTTTGTAAAATCAAATCATTATCTTTCTTCTTACCACTGTTCTTCAGCATTTGCTCTGTAGCACTTAACATGATCTTTGCTATTCCGACCTTCAAAATATAAATATAACTGTGTGGACAAAGACTCGGTCTTTAATATATTCCCTGCCTGGGTTACGACAAAGTATATAATCTCATCACTCACTTTCGGCCTGCCACTTCTGGAAAGATCACCAATGCTACCAGTTTCTTAAAAACGTTTTATAGTGCTTTTAGTGTCTGGAAGATTGTACCCATACGAAATTCTTGATAACAGTTAATGTGCGAATTTGCTTCAGAATATCACAAGGTACACCTTTGTTTTCTTTCATCGACGCCATTTTTTTACTAACTATTCCTTGACGCCATCACTTATATGGTAAAAACTTTGTAACACTAGGACTAAGTAATGATGAAATTTTCAAATTTCTGTCTTACTTATTTGTCTTTGTCTTTCAAATTTCTGTCTCTTTTGTCTTATTTCTTCAATTGTTGTTACATGTAACACGTTAACATTTCATTAAAAATTTCGCAGTTATTTTCAGTTTATTTCCCTAGCGATTAAATCAGAAGACGAAGGCGATAAATAATAAAAAATGATAAGCTAAATTTAGATTTATTCCTCTTGATAGGATCAAATGTTAACAAGAATGTGAATCAATTAAGATTTTGTAGTGGAATTAAACAAATTTGGTATATTTCAATGCAGTTTCTTACTGCACTCAAAATGAAATACAAATTCGTAAGTCCAAGTCTGTAATATTATTTTAACTCTTATTATTAGGGAGGGAAAAAATTCAGATCTGATGGTGAGCACATTAGAACACTAATAAGTTATAAATTTGTTAGATCTATTTCAGATTGACAGCGATCTGATGTTATAAGAAAATTTTGAATATTATTTTACGTGCTTTCAAAACCTTATATCTTGAAAGCAAATATGTTTTGTATTAATTATCTCTACGTAATGAAGTTAAAATACTGTGATCATTTCGAATATAAAAAATATCACTTCAAAACACTTAATGTGAATTAAATATTTTTATAGTGAGTGAACATTGAAAAATGCCACCAAAACCAATACCAAAATATTTTCTAAATTAATAAACTTAAAGATTATTTTGGTACTTACTTCTAAGCTGCAATGGTTAGATCTATCTGTTAAAAGCCATGCCACACTTAAATATTATGATAGAATAAGCCTTAGAGTACGAAAAGAAAGAAAAAGGGCTGTCCTTAAAATATTACATTTTTAAATTCGACCTGTATCTTTATCAAACATTTATCCACCAAAAAATGGGTAAAAGAAATTTTAAAGTTTTTCAGTACTAAGAATTGCAGTGGTATCTCTTAAACTGGAGTAGGATAAGTAAACAACTGCACCTAGGAAACCATCTGAAGACTTTTAATCTTCATTCTCTATTTTATCTGATGGAAGATAACGATAGCGTACCATCAGCTACTTTACTCTTCACATTTCAAGATTCTTAACGTTTGTCCAAAGCTGTTGTGAAAGGATATCTAAAACTATATAGTAAACATTACGTAAAAATTCTTTCTTACCTTGCCATTTTCCCTCCCCAGAAGTTTCTAATACTACCATAAATAATTTGACGACTTTATAAGGTATTTTCTCTCTTCTTCTAGCATGCCTTCATCGTGTAATTGGAAGCACACACGGCGCGTATTCGAGAGGCTCATGGCTCGAGTCTCAGCAAAGATATTCTCATTTTTCATGTCTCCTGCTTCCAAATAACCTAATGACTCTACAGTGGCGCCTGAACTTGTAAGGATCTTAAGTTTTACTAACGTTTATTTTATTTTAAATCTTTACTATCACTTCTTATTTTCTACTTCCGGCCAGAATTAAAAGCGTTAACTTATTTATGCAAAATTTGTCTGGCGAACGCCAAGTACTTAAGTTGTGGCTTTTTGCCAAGCGAGAGAGAGGAAGGAGTTAGTCGAAGCAGGCCGCTTACCTTAGAAGTTTTACTCAGTTGCTGGTTGCCTTCCAGGCCAGAGGTTTAATCATCTTGATAATTTTAAACGTATTGTAGTGTTAACAGTTCTCTGTACTACATACGGCTTCCTGTTAATATAAGGCCAATCTTCCACGTTTATTATTTCAAAGTTAAGTTAGCGTTTAGTTATATTTTTATATTCTTACGTTTAGACCACAAGTAGTGGGTCTTTGTATTCCGAAGTACGGAAATTATTGTAAAGAGAGAAAAATAAAGGGTTTTGTATACCCTTCTTGTGTATCCTGTCTACTTCCCACAGTTATTGAACATAGCTTTAGTAAGCTCTCTGTTCCGAGTCAGGTCCTTGCATGTTCCCAAAGAAAGTAAGACGGAACATTGAACCTGATAAACTAATAGGTGGTGGACAATAATTCGTCACCACCATAATTTGGCGACTAGGTTACCTAATCCCCAGTCGCCTTTAAAAGGGGTATTTTCTCCATCCTTTCAGCATGTCTTCGTAGTGTAACGGTAGCACACCTGGCGCGTATTTGAGAGATCCAGATTTGAGTCCCGGCCTAGGCACTGCACATTTTCACATCTCTTGTTTGAAAATAAGATAATGAATCTATATCTTATTAAAATGTGTTAAGAGCAACTGTTCCTGATAAAATAATACTGGAAGTAAAAAATTTGTCAAAGTATCCTTAATATGATATTAATTAATATTTAAAAATATTTTTACAACTAATGCCTGTTTTACATTCAATTTATTCTTATACTGATACACGGAAGATGAATACATCCACTCCTTTCGGTACATGAATCCTTTTCAGAAGCTCTTCTAACTTAAGATGTTATTTTTAGAACAGCATATTTTATTTATTCCAGTTTTAAATACCCTTTCTTAGTAAACTTAAATTTCTACGTTCAAGCAAAATGTAAATATTTAGGAGAAATGCATTTGAAAGTTGTTATCAGTTTTAGACAAGCGCACTCATTCACAGGTCATATCTTACTCTACAAGAATAGAAATGCTTTCTCTCCAACATACATTTATCGATAGGGAGTATTTTGAAATAATTATGAATGGTAAGAAATCTGATAATATTTTAGTCAAGATAGGAACGATTTCCACTTACAATACAAATTCTGGTCATTAATATGTATTACACTAGCCACATTTTTAGATTGATATATAGAATATGCTTTTAATTGAGTTCATTGATACCTTTTTGATCTGCTGTAAAGGTGGTTTCCAAATATAATGCGGATCTGTGTTAAATTATTTAACATTTTATACAAAGTCTTCATTTCACTTTTACAACTTTAATGAAATAGGCGCATGAATTCAAATGGATTTTCTTAATTCGAAAACACGTATAAAGGAGCACGATGTCTTGTTAACTGGTCGAATGTGTTGCTTGTTAACTGGTCGAATGAACCTAATCAAACGGAGAAATGAGAAGTATTGGATTAATGCTTCTCAGTAAAATTCATTTTTAATGTATCGTTAAATATTTGAACTTCGGGCAACTTGAATGCCATAATTTTATGAAAGTGTAATTTTACACCAGAATATTGATACAATTTCCCTATTTTACAATGTACTGTTTATACATTGCATGAATGCACAGAAAGTACAGAAATACCTTCTACTGGAAAATATTACAGTTACCTCTCGCACAGGTTGAAACCGTGATTTCATGATAAATTTTCACCATTTAACTTGCTTAAGAGAAATGTTCCACGTATTAAAATATCTGCATCATCTTTTTCTTTGCAATCGAGAAAGGGTTTATTTTATTTATTAACGTTGTAGAGTCATTAGGTTAATTGGAAGCAGAAAAGATGAAAAATATGCAACCGCCTTCGCCGGGAATCGAACCACGGACCTCTGGAATACCAGCGTGCTACCGTTACACCACGAAGGCACGCTAGGTAAGTGGAAGAAATACCTTATAACATAAGTATAAATGTTTCCATATTCCCACTGATAATGTTGAAAGATTTTGAAAAAGTAATCCTGCTTTAAACCTGAAATATTTAATCGATTATAACATGTATTTTGTTGCATAATATGTAAAATCTAACTTCGAAATTTAATCCTGAAGCTGTAAGAAAAGGATGTCGAGAGATATGCTTTAGAATGAGAGATCAGACTCCAAGAGTATATGACTAATCTACTGAATCTGTTTTTGAACAGACTTCGTCATTTCATTCAGAGATAAGTCCAGTAATCATCGCTATCTACATTTAATGTTTTCTGAGGCTTACTGCATTGTATTAAATGCAGTGGGCGAGAACCTCCACATATTACTGTCATACGCGATGCCAGTCTTTTAAGGTAGCACTCCATTTACACGCATACGCAGCGCCCGTTTTCTTAGATGTGTTCGTCTGCGTTGGATAGACATGGCAGCTGTCCGCAAAAGGTTAATGCAAGTCTTATAATATAATTAGTGTCGATTACATCAAGCAGTTAAATTTGACTATTTTTCTTGTTTTATGAAGATTTTTTTATTTGTTAGGGGTTTAAAATTATAGAAAAATAGTAATTTTTTTCACCAAAAGCTTTCTTTTAGGAACAAAGTTTACAAATTTATTTTGTTTCAATTAGAAATTAGGCATCATTTAGTGGATTAATAAACTTAAAATTACAAAAACATAATTATTTTTACAAATAATCATAAATACTATTTAATAACACCTAATATGAGTAAGGTAACACAATTCTGTATGTAGAAAAAATGTCATTCTATTAATTTATATTAACTCAATATGGATAAATTTTCTTTAGAATTCTTGAAATTTAACCTGTGCTGTAAATCACATTGTTGTATTGGCCCTCATACTCAATTTTTATCATATTTGTCGTTGTAAGTTTCTGATTACGATGTTTAAAGCCCAGCGTGCCCTAACAGAGCTCATTTTGCTCTCTTCAGAAAATACTCATATTTGCTTTGAATCTGTCAAGGTAATCTTGAAAGTTATTCACATTGAGCTATACTCTTCAACTGATTTTGGTGTAATACTTATAAAACTCCACGAAGTCTCTAATTTTATGATTACCCAGAGTTATACTCAGAGAAAGGAAGATATCTCCCTTCTATCTTTCTGTCATAGCGAGTTTCTTTGAGTATTTTTATACTATATTATCTTTCTTGTCTGTCTGATGAAGTTTCCTATTTTTATCTTTACGCTAGATAATTCAGAGAGCATACCAGGATAGAATTAACTATCCTGAAGGCAGTAAATTCTATTCTAAAAGCGTTGAAGATTTGTTTTATTAAACCCAATATGATGTGTACTTTTTGGGGGACCCAACAAAGGCTCTGCCGTTACACTATGTATCCGGGATCTTAATTTAATGTGGTCACTTTTCCTTATGGTAGTGCACCTTGGAGTCCTTGCCACACTAATGACACAGGCAGTAAAGAAATTTTATTAAATCTGCTTTAAAAAAAGTGTCAAAAAGGTCACCATTCGCCCTTCACGAATACTTTGATTTTCTTGCCATAACTTCTAAAACTTCAAGACAAGCGGCAAAAATTTAGCATTATTGTACTTCTTTTTGAAGCGCACTTCTTTGAACAGGCCAAGGATAGAGAAAAGGTACTCGTTTCCATTATGAAGTAACATAGTTTCATTTTTGCTAGTGTAGCCAATGATGAGGCAATTTCTTCCGTTTACAGGTGATTTCACTTTCGCCAAACATATTTGTCCCACTTCGGCAGACGGAAATCTCACCTCGGAAAGAAATTTCGTGAAGTTTCTCTAAAACGAAACATATTCACTTTTATTAAAATATCCCATTACTCAAAGTCAGAATCCTAGCAATAGATTTTGTAAATCTCGATTTAAGTCTCTGCGATATTCTTCTTTGAGTAGTAAGATATATTCAGTTGGTTTGGTGTAGATAAAAATCGGAATTACCCAGAATTAATATAACATCAATTGTTTGGTATTTTTAAAATATACGCTTAGAGTTGGTCACATTACTTTCTTACTCCAATAGATCTGCTTATTCTTACGGACTGATATACTTACAAGCTACATGAATCTACATTCTGTGAAACTACATTCTGTGAGAATCGTTTTTTAATGTTAGAATTTCTAGTTTTGCTTTTGATAACAGTAAAAGAGCTTCAATAAAGGTCTGGTAGGCGCAACAAGGCAATTCATGATCCAAACCAAACCAAAAACCATGATTAAAAAAATAGAAACAAATGTGTCAGCAGTGTTAAATGGAACACAACACGAAATTACAATGCCAATAAAATGGCATTTAAAACTAGGAGATAAAAAGAGCGAATTAAATTTTAATTTTACGTAAGATTACGAAGAATACTTTTTGTTCTTTGAAAACGTGACTTATGTTAGT